AATAAAGCTTTTGAAAAGAATGGATTGTGATCAATGAGCAGCAGAATATGAAATAAGGTCTCAGTCTATTCCCTCTCTTGTGCTCCACTGATCTCTTATTTGTGTTCTTCATAAGAAATATCATGGAATTAAATAAATTGCTTTTTCACACTTGCCTTTCTGATAATTGGACGTGGTGTCAGTATGAATGAACAAAGACAAGGATTTTACTTTATTATGGTCACTGGCAACTATTTAGACATTTCTTTGGTTGTCTTTATAATGGTACTGTTCGTGCACCCATGAGGTTTTAATTATGGCTGAGTGCAAGTTGAAGGGCACGTTTGCTCCAGCACATAGTAATCTTAATTTCTGTTTTAGATTGAAAATATTTTTATATAAAATAATACTCAAGAAAAGTATAGTTGAATGGGATTATCAGCCTAACGATATCATATTTTCTTCAATCCAAGTTCTTTGAGGAATTAGATTATTTTGGTCTAGAAATAGACTTTTTGAAGGGTAGAGGACTGGAAAACAATTCACAATTTCCCTGAAATTAAAATTCTAAATTGATGAAGTCTTTAATTAATTGAAATAAATACAAATGTGGGAGATCTTAGAAGGACTGTAAGGGACTCCATAAAATGTTTCCTTTTATGAAAAGAGAACAATTCAGTTAGACCTACTTAGGTATAATTACAACTTCATCACACTGCCAGAGAAAAAATTTTTAACATTATCATGTATATGGATATTAAAATAGGTGTTATTTATGTGAAGCATCTTTACAGTCTAATATATTATAGTGTAGCATTATTACTAGGCAATTCTGGTTTTAATTCTAAAACAGTGCATGTTGCAAAATTGAGCAAATTTTCTAGTCAATTGTGTTTTAATTAAGTCAATTATCATTTTAAAGTCCTTTGTCACACACACACACACACACACAATTCCTTCTGATCATGGTTTGTATTCTGAGAGATTCACAGACTCCTATCATGGCAATGAATCAAAATGCTGTAGGATCAGCTTCCTCAGAAATGGCGGGACGGACTGTTTTTTTAGGGTGTTCAGAGTAGGTTTTACCCACTATGTGTCACCTTAGTATATAAGGAGTCACCTTAGAAATAAGGAGACCCCAGGTCTTGAGGGTCTTGGGATAAGTTACCTTAAAGAATGAAGATTAGCTAGATAAGGGTCATTTCCTGGAATGATCTTTTTATCAGAGAAAACCGCTTAAGGCAGAGCAAACATCTAGAGGAAAGATTTTGCCTTATGTTTTATGATTCCTTGCTGCATCTCTCCCATCCCTAGCACAGAATATAATCCCATCCCTATCCCCACCCCAGCACAGAATATAAATCCATTTATTTCAGAATGACAACCTCCTGAATTTTCCATAGCTGTTTAATCCAATCTGGCCTTTTCTCCCACCAATCTCTCTGACAATTCTTTCTTAGCTTGTCCAGCTGGAGGGGAAGTCAAAGGAGGGGGTGGGGGGAGATTTCCCCAATGCCCAAGCAGAACGAACAAGAATGAAGTAACTCCTTCATACAGTAAATGGTAATTCACCATGTCAGTTAACATTTACTGAGCAATACATGCAGGTACAGAAATGTGTTTTCTTGTAGAGGAAAAATATCATATAATAAAAAGACTATTTAGCTCCTAAATGAATTAGGTCTTATGGTAGGTAAGAGATACTAGTTCTGATTCTCCAAAGCAGAGCTTGAGACAAGGGCTGGAGGGCTAGGAATTTACCCTGGAGGTATTCTTTGGAAGTACTAAAAGAGGAGGGAGTGTGAGACAGGAAAGAAAAAAGAAAAAACAAAGCAAGAACAGATTGTTAGGGTTATTGCTCGAAATATTGGGGCTATTCCTCTAGCTAGTTGGATTTTCTTAGATTAATTTACAGTTTTTTTGTATGTATAAGTTCAAACCTTTGAATAATTAGGTCATTATCTTAGCAAGGCAGTGTACAAGTTGATACTAGAAGATCCAAGTGGAGTGATTTTTTTTTTAAAGATTTATTTATTTATTCATATAGAACTGGGGTTCAGGCCAGAGATGCGGAGGGTGAGAGGATTCACCAGAGACAGAGTGGGGAGCAGAACAGGCAGATCGACGAAGTCCACTGCCGAGGGGAGCAGCGGGCGGGTCAGGAGAGGTCTGGCTCGCCATGTGGTCTCCTCCGGGGCCGGCGGCAGGCGGGAATCGAACTCATGCGGAAGCGGCCTCAGATTCTCAGTGCTGTGCTTTAACCCGCTGCGCCACCAGGGAGGGCCCGAATCTTTTTTTTTTAAAAGAAAACTGAGGCAGAGCCTCAGTGGTCCAGTAATTAGTTACACACTTGGTAGGGGGCTGTGAGGAGACAAATCCCTAGCTCAGGTCCTTTGTTAGGGATTAATACTATTCTGAAGGAACAAAGTAAAGTCCTATTCACTTTCTAAAGTCAGCCCCAAACCAGTTACTGCTAACTCTTCTCTTTTTTTATGTAGACAAGTATAAGTTCTAGGCATGAAGTTTGCAGGGTGTGAGATTCACCAGAGACAGAGTGGGGAGCAAAACTGGCAGATCTACTCCAGGGAGGTCCCCGTCTCTTTGCTTTATTTCAGACAGTTCTTATATTTGAAACTTAGTAGCAGTGACAGGAAAGAAATAGAAACAAAGGTTTTGGTTTTAATAGTTTGCTTGCTTTTTATATTATTTTATTACAGAAGGTAACATTACCTTCTGTAATTTTAAAATATGACTTATCTGAGGATAAAGTGTTATTTTGCCTCTCCTAGTTTTGGGACTTTTTACTTTCAAAGCAGATTAGATTGATTTCCATGGTTTCTTTTAGCCCAGAACTAGTCATGGATCATGTCTCCTGAGCATGTTCATCAGCCAATCTTTCTTGGGGTGAGAGATAACTGACTTATTATATTACTTTCAGGTGTAGAAAATAATGATTGATAATTTTATATATTGAGAAATGAGTACCATAAGTAAATCTAGTTGACATATAAGCAACACAATTACAAACATTTTTTTTTTTGTAAGGAGTACTTAGAAAAACTCTTTAGACAACTTTAAATAAGCAATACAGTACTATTAAACGTGGCTGCCAGATGTACGTTATGTCCCCATGACATGACATTTATTGCATAACTCGAATGTGTGTCTTTGATCACCTTCACCCATTTCACCTCTCTCTGATCCTTCTCCTCTGTCCTCTGGCCACCAATGTGTTCTCTGTATCTACCATCTTGTTAGTCTTTTTGTTTTGTTTTACATCCATGTGTCAATAAGTCATGTGCTCGTTGTCTTGCTTTGTCTGACTTATACACTTGCTGTAATACCAAGGTCCATTCATGCTGTTACAAATGGCAGGGGTTCTTTCTTTTTTATTACAGTTGAATGACATTGAACGGCATCTATCTGTCCATTAATATCACTATATATATATGTATATGGGTGTGTATCTGTATGCATATATCTGTATATATATATATATGTGTGTGTGTGTATATATATATGTATATACATATGTCAATGGATGTATGTACTACAATTCCTTTATCCATTATCCATCTATAAACACATAGATTTTGCCATATCTTGGCTATTGTAATTGATGATGCAATGAGTAGGGCATAACTTTATGCTTTTGAGGTAGTATTTTCATATTCTTTGGATAATTGCTCAAAGAATTGCTGGATCACATGGTGGTTCTATTTTTCATGTCTGAGAACTCTTTACTGTTTCCTTTGGTGTTACCAATTTGCATCCCCACCAATAGTGTACAAGCATGCTCTTTTCTCCATACATTTGTAATTTTTTGTTTGACTGCTTCTCCCACCCCCAATAATGATTATGCTCACAAGTGTAAGCATAATCATTGTGGTTCTGATTTAAATTTTCCATGGTGTGAACATATTATCCTGAACATATTATCCTGGTACTTTATCTTTTAAATCCCAGGGAGCATGAATGGTCTGATTTTATTGATTTCTCAGTGCTCTTATGGCCTTTTCATATTATTTATCCTCCCACAAAGTTGTATTAGACATTATAATTGATTATAACATAATAAAAACAGAGTTTAGAGTAGATCAAGAACTTCAAAATTACAATTTTGAGCACCCTAGTTCTTTGGGGAAGGATCTTGAGGTGTTCTGAAGTTAAATCAATTTTCTCCCTTTCACGTAGTTAGCCAGTGGCAGGTTCAGGAGTATAAGTGACATTCTAATTTCTAATTATTTCCACAAATTATAAAAATTCACCATTGTGGGAAGTGAAATGAAGGAAGTGCCGTTTCTGTGTGTGAATCTCAGTGAGTAGCTGTGGTGGGCTAAGGACAGGGGACGGCAGGGGGATGGAGGTTCTGTCCTGGCTCCACAGTCCTCAGGGTGACTGACTACTAGAACTTAAACCAATAAACAATATTTTTGAGCAAGACTAATTTATCTTTGATATTTTTTGGAACTGTGGGTTCATGACTCACTGCTTTTAAATATTCTACAGACAAAATCCCTGATGTGAATAGCTCCTACTGCCCTGCTCTCACTTGCTGTGCTGCGGGGAATAGTAAATACTTAATACCCGTTGAAGACCCAGGGCCACGTGTTTGTCTATCCAATTCTGAGACTGAGAACACACACATGTCAGGGAGATCATCATCCTTTATATCCTCACCCTGTGCAAAATGTGTTATTGGAATAGAGTAGTTACATGTCACTAAAAAAAAAAAAAAAATTGGTTTCTATTGACTTGTTTAACATTTTAAATATAAAAGAAGAACTAGGTGAGTCACTATTGTAGTTTGGCAGAGCCTTGCTTTCGCAAACATGCTGTTCCCAACACAGATCACTCTAGAGTGTACAGAGGTTCAGTTTCTGAACCAGGTGAAACGACAGCCCAGCTCAGAGGGACAGGGATGACTGATTGGCTGGGGCCAGCGAGCAAGATCCATAAAAGGCAGTGGGGGACCTGGGGCTGGTCAAGGAAATCAACCACGGAGTCTCCACCCTCAGTGCGTCTCAAACAGTTGGTTTCCATCATGAGTGGATGCCCATTTTTGGGAAATAATTTAGGGTGAGTTTTTATTCTCGTGTTTAATAATCTTTTCTTAAGAAAGTGAATAGTAAGAGAATTTTAATCATTTATATTATTAAGAAATTGTGTGTTCTCAAGATCTATTTTTTTTTTCATCTGCAGATACACTTTTAAAAAAGTATCTGCAGAAGGAAATGAAGAAGACAATTCACAGACCGGTGTAAATAGAGCCAGCAGAGGAGGACTTATCTATGGGAACTACCTGCATGTGAGTTCAGTGTCTTCACGGTGTTTAATTTTCCTGGTTAGGTGCTAAATGCTGCTGAGGGATATTTGCAGTCTTTTGTTTTTCTTTTTTCTGTCACCAGATAGTTTGTAGATTTAAGGATATTCTTATTTATTCAAATGCATATATATATATATGTATGTGTGTGTGTGTGTGTGTGTGTGTGTGTATAAGAATTTTGCTAGAAAACCTTAAGAGGCTTAAGCGAAAAGTCACCTCTGGCAGAGGGACAGTTGAAGCACAATCAAGAATCAAGGCAGGAGAGTGGAGAGGATAAGATAAAGTATAGATAAGTGGACGCATTGCACAACTTATATAAATAAGGCATAGTCAATCAAGCTGGATGATGCAAAGGGAGCCAGGAGAATTTCTTTTAAATCCTTTGCCATGTTGAAGGCACTATGACGTCATTGGCAAATAAAACATGGATATTAATCCTGAGGTAGTTGGAGATTATTCTGGGGTAAGATTCAGCCTGTTTGTCTTTTATATTTCTTACGCAGTCTTCATCATTGTGTTTCTGATGTGTTCACATCAAAAGATGAGCTGGTTAAAATCTTATTAGAACAGGCTTTTGGGGAGAATAAAAGAACAAAAGTTATACAGTTGAGCAAATAGTTAAGTTTGTATCTACTCATTTCAAGAGATGGAGAACTATGACTTCCGGAGAGTACAATAACATTTGTTATGATAGAATTCTACCAAAGACAGTTTCTCCCTAGCAGAACAAATATCATAAATTCAACTTTTTATGCCAAGGCTCATTAATTGTTTAAAAGAAATAGATTGCTTCCTGTAAATTTGGGAATTTGCAGGACTTTTTTAGTGCTGTATCTTACTAATTAAAGTTCATAAAAGCCAAGCTTTATAATATTTAATCAATTTTTTTAAAATACCATTGTAGTTTCATCGAGATGAACTTGACATAGAACTGTGTAAATTTGAAGTACATATGTTATATATAAATGACTACCATGATAACATTAGCTGACACCTTTATCATATCACTTAATCAACTTTATCACTATTTTTTTTTTCTGGTAAAAATACATCAGTTCTACCTTTAAGCAACTGTTAAATATAACCACCATATTTTCCATCAGATTCATTTATACAAAATCATGCTCTTTTATTTTTTTGTTTAAAGCTGGAAAAAGTTTTGAATGCACAGGAACTTCAGAGTGAAATAAAAGGAAATAAAATCCATGATGAACATCTTTTTATTATAACTCATCAAGGTAAGCTGCATAAAGGTGTTTATGGTAGTTACTTCATAGGTGTATCCCTCCAATAACCAGAAAAGCTGTGATTTCTTTAACTGTAAGAAGGGAAAAGATGATAGAATCATCTTTGTTAGAAATGTTGAGAGTATCTTGATGCCAGATAAATTCTCAAATGAACTCCCTCTGGGACTTTTAACAATCTCATTATGTTACTGCACTGTTAATTACATCAAGTAAGACTTTTCTTTGTCTGAGTTCCAAGAAAGCATTCTATCTCTTGGAATTCAAAAAGAATTTGCAAACTAAGTGGTGACAATTTTTCAACTTGGAACTTTAAAGAACTCTTCAAAAACTTGAGTGCTAAAATTTATTATGACTTTACAAAATACTATACAAATGTGACATTAACAGAAATGTAAATTTTGTCTGAAAAATGTGTTTTTTCCTCTTCAGACTTTCAACGTCTGGGAAATGGTTTTTAGCATAGAGGTCCATAAATTTACGAGTCTAAAAGGCCTCTGCTTTCTTAATTTTTGTGCAAAATTTCATGAATCTTTATGAGGCCTGTGACCCCCAAATATGAGGGAGATTTACTATAAGGTTGTTAGTACCATAATAATGTTCTCTAAGGTTGCGTAACTCCTGCTAGTCTGTGCCCTGTTTCTAGATGTTTCTTTCCTTACCAGTCTTTTCCTCAAATGCTTGTTTCACATTGGCTAAAATGTTACTAACTGCCCTTTGAAGAAAAAAAAAAAGTTGGAGATGAAAAACAATGATTTTAAAGTGCTACTTCTCCTGTTCTTATGTGTTCTTATGTTTATAGCTTTTATTGTTGGATTATAATAAGACTGAACCGATAAGAGGAGAAGCATAGCGGCCTGGCACAAATACTGGATTCAGAAAATTACTTAGAATCCCGTTTCTATCATTATAAACTGATTGACCTTGGTTAAGTTTCTTGACCAATAATCCTCCCATTTCTCTGTCTGTAAAGTGGAGATGATTTTTGCATTCTCTCCATTTGTGAAGTTTTTATGAAGATGGAGTGAGAGGTCATGCATGGAGCTCCCAGCTTATCACAAACAGACGGCAATGGTGACCGGCAGGATTTCATAAGACTTTTCTTCCATCCTGCAGTTATAACATGGAGTCAGCATCTCAGGAGTAGTCAGCCATGTTAAAGACAAAAAACAGACACATAAACTAGTTCCAAAATAGTTGGTTTGTTCTTTATATGTGAATATGAAAACTAGACCTTTAGCAGTGTACTTAATGTGAATTATCTGTAATATTATTCCCTTCATTAGTGAGAAATGGTTTCTTTACCTGTACCGTAGCACCAAGCACAATACCTGAAAATCCCAAAGATTATTGATTTTCAGTACTTCTCTAATGGTGACACAAACTAACGCATTCATTTATTCATAAAATAATCACCCAGTGTTTATCTTATCCCAAACACCGTGCAAAGGTACAGAGGGAAATAGACGACTATGACAAAACCTCCTAGTATCCACACTACCCTAAGCCCCAAACCAACACTGTTGTTATATTTTTTAGGTGAGTGAGTCTTGATTTCCTAATTGACACATGAATATCACTTCACATACCCCCGGCTTCCAGAGGGGAAGGTAAAATTAGGTTATGTGCAAGATCCTAAAAGACATAAACAATACATTTGTTGAGAAAAATCAATGTAATAATAATATCTGTACTGCATATCGATAACATAGCAGGCACATTAAAACATTTAATAGATGGTTACTGTAACTGTCACTAATAACGATAGTATAAAATCGGGCTTTATCAACATTTTATTATTTTCAGATAATGCATTTGTCTTTTAATATGTTAAGTTTACCTTCGATATAATTATTGTTAGAGTCTTAAAATCTTCCATTTGACAATGTTTTTCTCATTGCAGCTTATGAACTGTGGTTTAAGCAAATCCTCTGGGAATTAGATTCTGTCCGAGAGATCTTTCAGAATGGACACGTGAGTTTTTATGTCCCAATGTTGTTCTCCTAATAGTATGCAGAACATAGTATTGATGAGGAAACTTGAACACCAAATGTCACTTAATGACAAAAGAAAAATCAACCCTTCCTTTGTGGAAAAGTTTAGTCAGATTTTCCCAGTTTATTGCTACTAAAAACGACACACTGCTTTATGGTTCCTTTCAAGTTCTAGTTTCAAGACCCTATCTTTAAAAATGGTGTTATGCATGATGGGAATTGTCAGGACAGCTAGTATAGCCTTTAACTAAAAGCAACAGAACTGTGTTTCTACTCTCTATTTGTTAGAGAACAGAAACAATAGTGAGGAAAGTGAAATAGGAAGAGGAGGAAGGAAAAAATTAGCAGGATGAAGAGAGAGAGAGAAAGGACACCAGGATGGGGGAGAAGGAAGAAAAGGACAAAGACAGCAGGGTGGAGGCAGAGAGCTTCCGGGGCTGCCAGTCGGAAGTGCCCAATCCCTCTCTCCTGCATCTTCCGGACACAGGACCCCTCTTCTGTGTCCCTGCTCCACCAGAGGCCAGGAGGAAGAACCCACACATGTAGACGCAATCCCATTGGTATCTCCAGGCCTCAGTAAAGAGAAGTTCCCATGTTTCCTTGACCTTTAGTTCTTGAAGCAAAACTAAGAGAGATATTTGCTTTAAATCCTGAGGATAATGAGTTCCAAAATTTATCCCTACCTTGTTTCCATAAAATGGTCCTGAACCAGAACTGATTGCTCGATGTTTCATTTCTTGTCCTTCAGGTCAGGGATGAAAGGAATATGCTCAAGGTTGTTACTCGGATGCACCGAGTGTCGGTGATTCTTAAATTACTGGTTCAGCAGTTCACTGTTCTGGAAACAATGACAGCCCTGGACTTCAATGACTTCAGGTATGCATCTGTGGCTTTGTGATAACAGTGAGCTTTGCCTTCTGCTTTGGTGGGTAAAAGAACGTGTGTGTGACAGTGATGCTGGACTGGTGTGTTACAGTGTAGGTGAGGAGCACCCTAGAACTCCCAAACCTGCCCCTTCTAAATAGGTTCTATCATCCAACTCATCCAGACAAAACAGTCTGGTGCATCAGACCTTCAATGGATAGGGACTTTAATACAAGTCATGTGCAACAGAGACAAGAAAACAAGTTTCCAAATCAAGAATGTGAGGTTCTCGAGAACCCATCCCCTTGTGGGTAAATTCCCAGCCAAACGAGGTTGGCCCAAAGCAGGACTACTGAGACCTGCTGAAACCTGGGGACCCATAAAGTAGGGGTAGGTGGGGCCCAGCACATCTGGGACAGAAGGAACAGAATCAAGGTAAAAGCTGCCTTTGGCAGCCTCCCCCAGGTCTCTCCCCTACATCTCTCACCCAGCGCCAGACCAGAGGCCAAGAATAGCTTCTTCACATGGCTCTGTCCCACCTGCCTCCTCTAGGAGGTGCATATCAAGAGAAACATTTTTTAATCAAATATTTATTGAGAAGAAATGTTCTTAGGATATTAGATGCATTTAATATGTAACAGGCAGAATTTGGCAATCAAAAAAAAAGTAGAACTCTTGTGTTGAATGAAACATTGGAGTCTAAGTAACAATTACATGAGGGAAATTCATGAGGGTGGTAGTTGTGTGGAGTAAAAGCATTTGTTGATCATCTGTTTTGGACAAGGCAACATCCCATTCTATTTGATTTGGGGTATTTCACTGCTGTTTTCAATAATTAATAATTAATATGCACATATATAATTTTAGGGGAAATTAAATAATATTTATAAAGACAGTGCTAATGCATAAAAATGGAGGTCAGTATCCATCTATTTTTAATTTAGGAAAAAAAATATTCATGTGCACACACATGCATACTCATATGTATGCACACACAGTCGCAAACAAATATAGATACATACACACACATATGACATCCCACAGTTACACATGTACCAATCTGTAAATTAATTCAGCAACAGGGACAGTGATGCTTACATATTTTGGTCCAAATTCTAAGTCCAGTGCTAGGCAGTTGTGTGCCTGTGTCTTATCTAAGAGAGTAAAACCGAACTACATCTGTGACAATGATTTACAATGTCAACCTAGTTCTTCCTTTCTCTTCTTTGTCCTCCCCAACTTGACATTCACAGAGAGTACTTATCGCCTGCATCAGGCTTCCAGAGTCTGCAGTTTCGACTCCTAGAAAATAAGATAGGTGTTCTTCAGAGTTTGAGAGTCCCTTACAACAGAAGACATTATCGCGATAACTTCAAAGGAGAAGAGAATGAACTGCTCCTTAAGTCTGAGCAGGAAAAAACACTTCTGCAACTCTTGGAGGTACCTGCTCAAGTCTCTCCGTAAAGTTTAGTTCCTAACAGTATGTGCTGTTGGGTTAGCTGCTCTCAGATCTGAGATGAAAATCTCCTATTTCAACTTGGGTCGCCGTTGTAAATAAGAAAAGATTGAATTTATAAAAAGACTTATATTTGTGAATTCCATCAATTATTCAAAATATTAAAATCTCTTGAGAGCTTCAGAAATACTTAGATAATCAATAATTTGTTAACATTTAGTCATCTTTTTATCTTATTGAAACAAGCCTTTTAAACATCCTAACTAAGCAACATTTAATTAGCTGATTTTTAAACTAAGTGTGGTTAATTATTCATTGAGCTTTAGGTCTTTAAAACATTCCAGAATTGGAAAGTTCCTCATTTAAGAATGTTTTCTCTTCAATTAATTTCCTATGGGTTTAGAAATAGCCATAAGGAATTACTCATTTGTTTCTTTCTAGCTAAATTATGAAATAAAGATTGTATGGCTTTAATTCCTTTGCGAAGTTTTTGCCTTTGAAAATTAAGCTTTTCTTTAGTGAAGAATGCATGGCGCTGCCCTGGGTATTGTAAATGTGGATTTAGGTGAATATATCCATGCTACATGACGTTTTATAAAGACAAAGGAGCACAGAGCTAATTTCAAAAACCAAAAATAGGTTGCACAAGAACCCACAGAGATGCATGAATTTGGTTGTACTTTTAGATTTAAAAGTCTTGTGGGTTCTAAAAATAATTGGCTAATTAGTTAAATTCAAAATTGCTAAGGGTACAATGTTGCTGCATTTAGAAAAGTTCATATCTTAAGAGTATCATTATTTCTCTAGTTCCTAAAATTTATTTTGAGAATAAACAAAAAAGATCAAACTAAAACAATGTATGGATGGTTCCATAGATTTATAGAATAAAGAGAAAAATATTATAATATCAGTGCCAAAAATATTAAGGAAATGAAATATAACATCATTATTTTATAAATGAAGAAATTGAAGGAAAAATAAATTTACACACAAAAGTAATTCTGGTATATGTTTTCCAAAATCACACAAGTTCCCTGTTTCAAGTTATAATGTTAGTTACAAAGTGTATTGCATATTTAAAATTTTATGATGTAGTCACTTAAACATATTCATTTAAGGCATGGCTGGAAAGAACACCAGGATTAGAGCCACATGGATTTAACTTCTGGGGAAAGTTTGAAAAAAATATCATCAAAGGCCTGGAAGAAGAATTCACAAGGATCCAGGTATTTATGATACCTTGAAATATAAGTTCATTGCTGAAGAGCTTATTGGGAATTTTAAGTATTCTCTACTTTTCCCTTTTCTTATATTATCTTTTTCTTCACAAATGCATCTGCTGGGAAAGGCAATTTAATTGTAACTGAAAATTTCTTTCCATCCAATCTTGTACAACATGATCTCCTCCAAATTGAAGTGTTTCTCCTGTTAAGTTGTGGATGCTTAAAATAATTAGCAAATTAGTTGAATTCACAGTTGCTAAATATATAACGTGAAGTCAGACACATACAGTTGATCTTTGGAAGCTCCCTCTTCCCAAACAAACTTTCACCAAATCCTACCGTTTGCCTTCAAAATGGCTCTGGAACATCTCCCTTCAATCAACCACCATCAACTAAATGCTATCAATGTCCTTCACCTGGCGGGCGCCATATTTTCTCGGCTGCCCTGATTGGTCCTCAGTGGGGCCCCTACAGCTGACTCTCCACACTGCAGCATGGAGCAGCAGCTTTTCAAAATGCAAATCTCCTCACATTTCCCTTTTGCTTCTTACTCTTCATTGTCTTCTCATAATTTTAAAAAGAATGATAAAAGCCATCAACATTTCACTCTCTTCTGCAGTTCATCTCTACTGAATGTCTTTTGAACTGAATTTAGTTCTTTGAATTATAACCACAGAGTCACTTTATGCGTTATTCTCTGGGCTCTGGAAATTCTCCTCTATGTAAGTAACGCGTAACGCAGCAGGTTTTAATCAGGGAGACCTTCAGGGAGGTTTTTGCTGACCCCCTTCCTACCATAAATTGTCACAGCACTGGGAAACACTAGCCATGCTTGCAATTTAATAGTCAGGTGATTATAATTCAATGTCTTGTTTCTCCCACACAATCTACTGCGTGCAATGAGGTGACTTGATTTTTTCTCATGAATTTATTTCTACCAACTCAGCATGACATTTACCTGAGTGAATAATTAACTGGTATTAATAGGTATATAAGTTTTTATGATATACTGTGGTTGTGACGATGAATTGAAGATAATTGAGTGAACTAGTTTTTGCTGGATTTCAATCGAGTTGTAAATAGAGCACACATTGGAGGCAGAAATATAAGAAATTCCTTAATCAGTAGGTAGTGAATGCCTCAGCCTAAGGATGGAGACTGTTTAAGACATTATACTTATAGAATATAATACTGGACGTAGAATTTCAACAGAATTAATAGTCTTTCAGATGAATACTTTTCCTAAGTGGAATTATTTTAATTACTGTATTAAACAATTGTCAAAAAATAGGTCATTATTAGTCATTATTAGTTTAGTTCCAGTTTACTTCTGAGTGTATTTCTCACGATATTTTTGAAGAGCAAATCATTCAAACTGAAATAACAATACAGAACCAGTGAGTGTGCTCAATATCCCCTTTCATAAGACATAATTCTCAAACTGTAGTGCTAGATGACCTGGTTTAAAAAACAAAACCAAAAAACTCTAAATACACTCTTTCTGCTCTTGGAGAGTTGTGTTTTTTTTTTTTTTTTCATAAGCAATGTTTTCTGAAATAAGGATCTTAGCTCTCTTAGCAATATTAAAACATTAATGCAGTGTTTTCTCCAAAGGCTAAAGAAGATTCAGAGGAAAAAGAGGAACAGATGGCTGAATTTCAGAAACAAAAAGAAGTGTTACTCTCCTTATTTGATGAGAAACGCCACGAGCATCTCCTTAGTAAGGGTAAGCACTTTTTTGCAAAAATACTATCTTTGCAATGAACGATGTGAGATCAGATATTAAAGCTTACTTGGGAAAAATAAAATTGAAATTCCATTCATAGAAATGGGAATTGAGTTGAGGTGATCAATGATAAACTGATGTTAATATTCCACACACACTTAATCTCAGAAACTTTCATAATAGGTTCATCAGACAAAGGATACCCAGATCAGATGAAAATGGCTTGTCAAACAGTTGACGGTTTAAAAGGGAGAGGCATGGAGCCAATCAGTGAGATGCTGAGTGCTGCAGCAGCGGTGGAGAGGAGTGGGGAGAGGGTGCCAGGCAGTGGAGAATCCCAAGACCAAGGAAGCACAAGCTGAGATTTGCAGCCTAATTAATACTGAGCAGTAGAGCCAAGGCCTTTGATACTTTTTACTTTATCATCAGAAATGGGGATCATTGATATTCAGGAGTAAAGAAAATACCTTTTTGTTGTTTGGAATTCAACAGAAGTAAAATTTAATTTTATAAAAAGCATATGACATACAGTATATTCAATTAATATTCAATTCTATAAGGTTGTAACCCTGAGTTTTCTATTAAATCTCAGTAAAGATGAGCAAAGCCTTATTTTCTAGATCTGACAGAACAAAACTTCACTAGAGCATATCAGTGACATCAATTAACAGAGCTGGTACTCCCTGCAGCCAAGTGACGCTATGCAATTTAAAGAATTTTAAGTGAATCAGAAAAAAGCACTCCACTGAAGTGGAGTGAAAGTATTGTTTTGAAAGCAATCATACTATTTTACTTGAAATATGTATTTTATTATGCACATTTTTTCCTAAATGATTTTTTCCTAATATTGACCTTTTAAAGGTTTTGAGAATTTAAATATACATATGTCATTTGCCTTTATAGATTATTTGCATATATTTCATTTACCTTTTAAAATCCAATACTAAAATATTACTTTATAAGATTGTTTTCTAATTCATGGTACAGCATACATGGTTTTTGGTCGTATAAAAATATTTAATGTCATGCAAATTAGTGAATGACTTAAATTACTTATTAAGTTGTTATATATTTGCAGGTGAAAGACGATTGTCATACAGAGCACTGCAGGGAGCCTTGATGATATATTTTTACAGGTAAAAACAAATCAAAAGCAGAGAGGCTGAACTTACTATTAAGAAGTGTACATAAATAGTGTACTAGAATAAAACTCATAGTTTCAAGTCATTTAGTTTTTTGCAAGGAAGCTGAGAAAATAATTGTGTTTTATGCTTTTTTTAAAAATATTTTAATAGTAAAAGTATAACTATCTTTGGAGTGGGTGAAACAATACATAAATACAGTTATTATTTTTAGTAAATTCTATAAAATAAATCTTGGAAACTCTTGGAATGTGTCTGTTATTGATAGAGGTGATAGAATCATTTCTGCTTTATAAAAAGAAAAAAATGATAAAATAAAAATACCTTATAATCTTCTATTTATTTGGCAATTTCAAGTGAAATTGCTTTTCAAAAATTGCACCTCAAAAGCATTTGAGGGGTCCCTCAAGTTCAAGATCTTTTGTTCCATTTGTATTAAGGTCCCATCCTTTGGGCCTTGAATTAGCTGTATCAGAACAGTGGGTATAGCACATCAAAAAAAGAGAAAAGCACATGAAAACAAAGTCTGTCTTCTGAGTGTATTATTTAGACTTATTTCAGATCCCCTCACATCTGTTTCTTGAAATTGGCAACACCTTTCAATGAGGCTCCATATTAGGTGTCACTGTGGCCTGTTAATTCATGACTATTTCATGGGCTCTTCTAAACGCTACAAATACTGCCAATGGTAGTACCCCCCTTTTTGAGATTAAGAAACTGAGCTTGAAGGAGTAATCCAGGTTTGCACAGCCCCTAAGGGAAGTTCGTATTTGTATCCAGGGCCAACAGATTACAAAACTTACATTCTCCCTCACACACTGGATCTAAAAGGTATCTTCTTCTCACCTGTCCCTTAGGGAAGAGCCTAGATTCCAGGTCCCATTTCAGTTACTGACATCTCTTATGGACATCGACACCCTCATGACCAAATGGAGATGTAAGTCTTCTTGGATGCCCCCTCCTCCCTCACCCTCATGCCTTTTCTCCTTCTTCCTGCTCCCCCACCCCCTCTCTCTTGCCCTTATCTGGGGGTGAGTTGTTTCTATAAAAACCACCTTGACAGTGACCATAGTGACCTTCTCAGGACTGACTTATCCAATAAACTCTACAGGCCTAGTACCTAGGGCCTACCACACCTTTGGGAGGCCAAGAAAATATTTTATTGGACAAACAGAAGGAAAAAAAAAATCTTTTTTAGTGGAGGAAAAGGCCAAGTGGCCTGTGGCTTGGCTCCCCGCTCTTATGCTCAAGGCTAACTGTGATGATGGAGGTTCAAGTGCATGTAGCCTGAGCTGAGTGTGGTGCCAGGCAACCTGCCGGCCTCACGGGGCTCTTGCACATGAGCCTTCCATATGGCCAGGTGATAAGGCGTGAGCCTTTTCTCAGAAGCAATAATCATTACCAGTCTCTTGTGTTTAGACCACTGTGCACATAATGGCAGGAAAATGTCCATGGAGTTAATTTGTGTGTTTGCTTAGATAACCACGTGTGCATGGTGCACAGGATGCTGGGCAGCAAGTCGGGCACCGGTGGGTCCTCAGGCTATCAGTACCTGCGCTCAACTGTGAGGTAAGGTGGGAGACACTCACCTTTCTCTTGATGGATCACCAGTGCCCAGGAGTCTCCATTTACATGTACACTATGGAGAAAAAAAGTCATTTATGCTTTGACCTACTCACAGCATATTTGTCATCAGATTACGATACCTCTATTGCAAGCTTTAGAGGACAATATAAAAAAAACAATTCTTAGCTTTGGAAGCTTGTGCTTGTGGTCCAGGGAGAAGGTAGGGAAAATGGTGGCTGCATGACTCTTGGGGACTCAAAAAGGTAAATCCACAAAGGAGTACTTTCAACTGCTTCTGGCTCAGTTTTGGACTAGGTTAAAACTATTGTTAATGATTAGTGACTAGATGCACTAAAACATAATTTCTATTTCTTGATATAACGAGTTTATAGTAAAGAAACTACTCCCATCCACTCGAGTGCCCTTTTCATAGTGTTTATAGGAAAAGATATCAACATTTATTGAACACTTAAAATATGCCAGAGAAAGTTCTAGACATTTGTGTTCTATGTCATATATAAACCTACCAGCAAATGTCCAGCTACCATCCACCACCAACTACTATGGCCTCCTCTCCTGCTCTGGTAACCAATATTTTATTGTCAGAGTCTAAGGGCTTTGTTTGTTTGTTTTTAACTTTTTTTTTTTTTAATATTCAACAAATGAGTAAAATCTTATGGTACTTGTCTATGTTAGTATATTCCGTTCAAGGACTATGTTGCCACAAATGGCAAAATCTCAACATTTTATGGCTGAGTAGTATACCACTGTGTGTGGTGGCACATCTCTATCCACTCAACTGCCATCTGTCTTTGAGCCATTGGGTTGTTTCCCTCGCTTGTCTATTGCTGGTAGTGGGTAGCTGGCACAACAATATGGACTCTTGGTTTTAATCTCCATCCGTCAGGTGAGGATCAATGAAATACATAATACATAATGTTTTGTGGGCATGAAGTCTGGATATGAAATAAAAATCAGGCAAATACCAATACTACTTAATACGATATATAAAACAAGTACCATATTTGACATAATATCATAATATGTAGTACTATTTAAAGCAAAATACTGTTGTCTGAGTTGACATTTACTGATAGAAAATCTTAAGTTATTCATGTCAATAAATCTAAGACATGTATATGTTTTTTTTTCCAGTGACCGGTACAAGGTATTTGTAGACTTATTTAATCTTTCAACATACCTGGTTCCCCGACACTGGATACCGAAGATGAACCCAATAATTCATAAGTTCCTTTATACAGCGGAATATTGTGACAGCTCTTACTTCAGCAGTGATGAATCAGATTAAAATTGTGAAGAGCATTAATTTTCAATCTGTATTTTTTGTAAATTTTTTTTATGAATTTTCATGACAGCATAGAGAATCCTAGTGTGATATATTTATATACATAGTTAAGCACCAAAGTGGCCCTTTTCAATTCTGGAAATAACTTTACTACTTGACTATCGTGATGATATAAAACACTGAAATTAGAAATTAATTCAATGAAATGGTAGCATTGTACAGTTTTTCTATTAAAAATTCTAAGTTCTCTGATACTTATTGTAACTATTTCACCTTATCATCTCATTGTTATATACTTTATGTTTAACTATTTCAAAATATGCAATAAAATAGCTCTTTTGAAAAACAATCAAATTTTTAAATAATAAAAATTAATCTTTTGTCATATATTGTTTTGGAAACATTGTGTTTGTTAGATTTTTTTTTTTATTGTTCATTTCATTCATTTAAAGAACGGGTTATTTTTAGGAAAAGGAGGAATCAAAAGAGAAGCAGCTGTGTCGTCACAGGCAGGGAGAACTAACTGCCTGCTTAGAATTCTTGATCACTGATGCTCTGAAGCTTGCCCAGAGGGAAATTACCCATTAGCTCAGATGAGGAGAAAAGTTGGGGAGCTCTGAGGCTGTAGAAGCAGATCCTGTTGTGGCCTGTATTCCTGGCACAGCCCAGGGATTTGTCGCATCTCTTCTGTACACGCTGCTTTCTTCCTGCTAGACCAGCTCCTTTGTTACACTCAGTCTCTGCTTCCAGCACAGCTAGATTTATCAGGGCAAAATACCCTTCTCCCAGCTCAACGGCCTGTGCTCTGGGAGGCAGAGTCAATTTAACGTCTAGCAGAATTGAGCCAGGAGCAAATAATAGTTCCCTCACGGGGAAAATGTTCTTTCCAGAAGAAAGATGTAGACTGCTTAAACGACGGCCCAGATCATTTTTAATAAAAAGATTTAAGAGTTTAGATCAGATAGATATAGTTTTATTCTTTTGTTAGGTCAGCCTGGATTTTGGTAATGCAGCTAAATTTTTGTTATCGTAGGAGGGTGAGTTCAAAATATTGTCACAGGAATCTAAAATATACATCAGCTTTGACAAAGTATCCTCAGCAAGTGGCTCGTTGTTAGGGATTGAGCTATTCTTTGATCTTGAAGGAAAGTTTTTTTTTTTTTTTAATTATTAGAAGGATCATAAGGTCTAATTTGTCAGTAACTGTAAAAGTACACATATGCATAGTACCCAATGGGGTTAAGTTGAAATATACAGACAAGTAACACATAGTTCAAGGCAAAATATTTGAAATTAGCAAACTTGGAAAAAATTCTGGCTCTATTTTTGAACTACCTATACTGGTACAAACACTAAAGACTCAATTTCATATGTATATAAGAGAAGAAAAATTTCATAATTTTGCTTTTTTCACAAAGTAATGAATACCCAAGATGTTTTAGAATCTTGGAATAAGTTGTATTTTCCAGGTTTTATCATTCTTTTAATATATTAATTTGATTTGGTGGGGGAAGGGAGGATGATGAATGACACCATGGGACACTGAGATTAAAGTGTCAACATAGAAAAACCAAGCACTAGATACATGGATTTCTGATGAGAAACTAAGAAAATAGAATGGATTAATTCTGCATTGACAAATGAAAATTACATACTTATATGCAAATTCTTCTCAACTCACAGTCAAAAATAGGTTACTTTATTATAAATGGCATCAATATTTTAAAGAGCTGAGAGGAATTAATCACTTTGAAATTAGTGATTAGTTCTTTTAACATTTGAAAATGAGCATCACAAGGCATTTGTATCATACAAAAATAAGTAAATAAACACAAACTAGAATATGCAGGACATAGGACCTTTTGGCATACTTGGAGAAGTAGAATATTTATCAATTTTAATATCAATATTTGTCTAATAACAGTATTTGTCTTTCTGGGACATTTCTAAATCTAAGCCAACCCTTTTTTTAAATTCCATTTTTCTAGTAAAGGGGATGAAGATGGGCAAAATTGGAGAAAAATAGAAGTCCTCAATTTTGTTTAGTGGCTGTTGGTGTATTGAAATTTTTGCTTTAAGATAGTCTACATAGAAAGTCATCGTGAATTAAAAAAAAATGTATTTACACACCTAGTGTTTGATATGGTTTTCTTCTACTAACTTATGCAATATGGCTGTATTACTTATATTCACTCAGATCACCTGCTCTTCTGCTCTCTGATTCTCACACTGTCTTTCATTGTGACTTGTGGAAGCGAGAGCCTGGGCATCAAGAAGGAGGAGGCAAAGCCCAAAGAAACACAAAATCTGAGGTAGAAGGGGAGCTTGGGAAAAATAGACAGAAAAAATAGGGAGCTCCTATTTTGGCTGATACAGCAGATTAATGACATTGGACTTTGAAAGAAGTGGCTGGAGGGAGAAGAAGTGAGCTCCTCATACTGATAGAAGCTCAGAGACAAAAGAGCCAAGTAGATGGTTATAAAACAGAAATGGAAAGTAAAGAATGGAACTTGCTTCTTTGGCCTGGGAACCCCAGCCGTAGGAAAACAGGAATTTTTAGTAAAGAGTAAAGAGAAAGACAGTATAGGCAAATATGGGACTCACTATATGAAAATTTCCATATAACAACTTCTTTCTCACGCAATATGAGTTTTTATCATACATTTGCAATATTGGTCATATAATCTCAATCAGGTTAACTTCCTGTTAAAAAGTGATTTTTCATTGTGTTTCTTTCTACATGGTCTCTGTACAGTTCAAGGTTGGGCACCATTTTTTGATGGAAAGCAGAGGATGCTTATATAAGTGTGAAAGGCACACAGAATTTTTGGTTGGCTGTTCTTGTAAATGGTGGTAAACTAAACAATGGCAAATACATCCTTATCACTTCTTTAATTCACTGGTGTGAGAAATGCTCTAGATTTTTTATTTCTATGCCTGGTGCTGGTGTTGTTCCTGCCAACTTTGGCTGTCCATCCCTCTATAAGGAACATTCTACAAGTTAGTTTACTCTAGAATTTACGTGGGTTGTAGTTGCCTCCTGATTTACTTATTCTTTCACACAAATACAAAAGAAACTGAATCTGCAATACCTAAAAAAAAGGGAAAAAAAAGGGAAATTATTAGTATAGTCCATTGCCTCTGTAGATGCCTTTCAGTAGCAAATGAAAACAATATTCATTTGAGTTCAGAAAGAGTTAATATCTACCAACAGATAAATCACAAGTATGCAGTACACTATTAGCACAGTAAAATACAGACCTTAATATCATGGCAAGAGCAATAAAGAACCCACTTGAAGGCTGGATTTCACTGTAATTAGCTATGTCTTTTCAATTCCGTGGGGCCATGGAATGTCATGGCACCTCTGTTCATCAGAGTAACATGATCATCAGTAAGTATATAATTCAGGAAATAAATTTCAAGAAGGATTTGGATTGCTGTATAATTACTAGCCAGGTAGGTCTTTGGACTCAAATTGGGAAGCAGGTAGGGGAGAGAAATTATCCCAACATACACTTAGTACCTGGGAGTGGGGGAAAGTGGTAGTGGTAAATGCAGAGTCATAATTGGGGCAATTATGAATCAAAGTCTGAATTACATTCTTGCAGCTTCCAGCCAGCATTTGGAGAACAGCCACCCACAGGGCCATCACTTTGAGAAATAATTTAATCTTAGTCACGGAGGTTCAGTGAAGGGCAGTAATTTATCTGTAAGTTCCAACAATGTAAAAGCCTCCAGTGATGCTAGAAAGTGGAACCTAATTGAGTTGTCAATGTTCTAGCTAAAAGATTACTCCAATGTGCATTCAAGTCAATAAATAATTTTTGAAAAATATTTTATGCAGTGATAGGACATGCCAATTCATTAACTCTGGGGTTTACCACTTTCTGGAATGACTGGAAGTGGTCACTGGAGTCAAAACATACATTTTCATATTTTCTATGCTTTTTTCATTAGTTCTACAATTTGAAAGCTCTATACATTTTAAAACATTATACTTATAATAAAAACATACATTTTTAATATTCTAATTTTATAAAATTATAGAATATAATTTTAATAAGATATTAAAATGATGGTTCTCAAATGTGACATCATTTGGGTCAACTTGATTCAGAATTATGTTGGTTTTCTAGATTTAAAGTTTTAGAATACAGATTTGAATATAGGTTTTAGAATACTTACGCCTCAATTTCAATAGTTTTTTTTTTTAGAATTTTGTAGATGACAAGGGACCTATAAAATCAGAAACAACCCTAAGGCTTAGATTTTCATGTGATGAAAGGTGATTTCTGACAATCCCTTGGCAGATATTATAGTGTCCAAATTAAGGTAATTCAGATAGTTATAAAAAATAACTGAAAGTAGGAGATATTCTTGGAGAAATTCAGACTTTTAAGTTGAATGTTTATTTGATTCTTGAAGTAGTTAACTCTGGTAAATTATTACTTTATCTTAAAAAGTTGATCTCTTACTTGTTTCTTGTTTTTCCTATCATTCCTCTTTTTTTTTTTTTTTTTGAAGACATGAATATATGCAATAGTATCTTTGTAAAGCAGTGTTTTTAATCACTCAGCTGAATGATTAACATTATTACTGTAAAAGAGATTTAAGTACACTGGAAGCATACCCTGGCCTGGGCATTCCCATAGCTTTTATATATTCAGACTATCTTCCTTGACATTTAACCTGCACTTTAGGTAAGAACGGACCACTCACCACAGATATTACTGCCCATTTTAACATGGGCATAGCCGTCCACTCCCCAAGAACTTCCCCAGGAGTTGCGGACAATCCAATATGGCGTACTTCCTACAAGACACAAAATGCTAACAGACCCTGAAAAACTCAACACTCGTCGTGAATGCATGTCTATATAAAGTTTACTTCTCGGTAAGTATAGCAGTGCTAAGAAACGGATTAAAATATATGAAAACATATCTGAATTCATTTCACGGGACACAGGAACTACATAAAATGAACACACACACACACATATTTCCAAGGAATTAGAAAAAGGGAAAAACATTGTTACATGTGTATAAAATAATAAATACTTCTCTTCTTCCAAAAATCATTTTAATTTTTCACATAGAAAATAGATGCTATTTAAATCAAGCACTTAGATGAATTCTATCACTATGGATACTTTATTTAAACAAAACACTGAGAAGGTGTTTATCCTTGGAAGTCTACTGAAAAGTTGTAAAAGTTATGATGATTTAAACATGGTAAGATAAAATTTCAACATTTTCAAGGACGGTGATTTGCCAGTGTTCAAGACAGAAAACATTGAGTTTTCTCTGCACTTACCTGTTTTATCAAACCCAGTAATGAGAACTGCATGGTTGGCTTCTCCCCTTGAGCAATGGTGCTGTATTATGCCTCCCAGGTAATCCTGCCAGCTCACTGCATCTACCACTGCTATCAAGGGGCCAAAGGAAAGAAGTACTCTTGCCATTCCATCTTCTTGGCCACTAGCAAAAGAGGGCATAATTGATTAAAGAGTTTAATTTTTAAGGCAAATATAAAAGTTATCTATTCAAACTGCATTTGATTAGTTACAAGTTTGATTGCACTTTTTGAAGATCCAAACAATGGAGGCAAAAAGAAGTCTTGTAGTGGCAGTCCTGGATCTGGAACCAGGTTGCTTCTGTATTGCTGTTCTCTTATGTGATGTTCCCATTCCTCACGTTAACAAGTGGTCCAAGATGGCTGCTTGAGCTGTAGCCATTTATTTCATTATTTTTTAAAGATTTATTTATTTATGTATACAAGAACTGGGGTGCAGGCCAGAAGTATGGGGTGGAGATTGAGAGGATTCTCCCAAGACAGTGGGAAGAGAACAGGCAGATTGATGAAGTACACTGCTGAGGGGAGAAGTGGGCAAGCCAGGAGAGGTCTACTGCGCCATGTGGATCAGCTCCCTGGCTGGGGATCAAACTTTTTCTGCAGTGGATGTGGATAGCTTCACAGTCCTGGTACTTAACCCCTTGCACCACCAGGGAGGCCCAGCTCAAGCCACTTAGCACATATTTCAGATCACTTGATGTAGAAAGAATTTTGTATCCCTGTTATGAACACTTTCCCATAAGCAACACACATTCTGCACTTAGCTATGTGCATTTAATTGGCTAGACTCAGTCTAGCCCTGGGTGGGGGGGGGGGGGGAAGAGATGGGGGGAGAAAGGGAACACAGTCTTGGACTTGGCTGGCAAAATACCCAGCTAAAATATAAGGATTCTGTTAAGGAATAAGGACTGACTAGTGTATGGACTTAACTCTCTGCCACATCCTGTAGAATTAAGAGACTCACCAACTTATTAGGGAGTGACAAATATAGAAATTATAAGAAAGAGTCACCCAAAAGTAATAACTATAACTAGATGGTACTGAATATAATTACATTGTAGAAGAATATTAAGATATCAGGAGAAGTCACTTTAGATTTTGAAGACTACAAAATACACATTTATGGCTTTCAACATGAATGTATACTGATAGGTTTTTGCACAAGTTAGACCATCAATCTTAAAAGTATTAGGTTAAACCATTATTTACATCTGTAAAGGTCAACACAGTGGGTGAAGGATACCAAGTCACTGGTATTTCAGGTCATTAAGATAGCGTTTGGTAGTTTATTGCGACAGCGAGCCATGGTAGATTAGTGGTTTGAAAGAGTAAATAATCCCTCATCAGGTCCATCTGAGATTGTTTCTATCCAGGGGGATATTTTGTCCAACATGGATGGAAAGACAGTCTATTATCTTTTGTGTTCATATATAGTATATAGAAAAAATACACCACCCATGTTTTTGTCTCAAGGCCTTTGCACTGTGCTTGGAATGAAAGGCTTAAGTTCCCACACTCCTTCGTCTTTATAAAAATGTCCAAAGCTCAGCAGCTGACAGCTCCCTGACAGCAAATTTCTAAGACTGTCCACTCCTCCCTCCCCCATCATGGTTTCTCTTCTTCCCATGGTTAGATCTGATTTTCCTCAGAAGTCATTAAATCAAATATGCTGTACATAGTTTGATTTTCTTTGTTTGCAGCCTGTCTCCATCAGAGAAACATCACCCTGAGGGCAGGGATTTTAGTTGTTTTGTTCACTGCTGAATTCCTAGAACCTAAAGCAGTGTTTAAAATATTTGAATTTGTAAAAACCAGTTTTCTTGTGGAGTCTTACATCATTAGCTCAGCAATGTGTTGCACGAATTCTAGCAGGACCACTTCCTTCTTAGTCAAAGGGTTGGTTCATTAATGTTTCATGCCTCATACCACTGACCTCAGACTGCATCTTCTCTCTCTCTCATACCTGTTCTTTGTTTTCTTGTTAACTTTTTTTGAATTCACTACTCATGATAAGGGATACCCTGAATCCTTTTTAATTTTGAACATTTACTTCCTTTTGTTCACGCATGCACCTCATATTCTCCAGGAACTGTTAGCTTCAGAAGTACACTTTCTCATTTTAAAAGCGCTATCTTTATCTTCAAAGGAGATGTTGCCCAGTTTACTTGGTGCCCTGCACATTTTATTATAGATTACATGTCACTTTCTGTCCTTGACAATGGGGCTGTCTGGTACCTACAGTCACTCCAAGAGCCTGTGTTGCAGATGGGAGCTGTGCTGCCCCCGACCAGATCTCTGACAGTCTTATGCCTATTTCCAGCGGCTCCATTTTGTGTAGGGATGCAATTTCACCCTTGATTTCCTTTTGATCCCATGGGTAGATGCCATCTGGAGCAAGGGATTCTTTGTTATTCAGTATCAGAAAGCTGTAAGGCAGTCTGTCACCATATCTGAATTTATTTTCTCTTTTCATAGACACTGCAAGATTAACTTCATATCTAAAATTTTTAAAAAAGCAAGTCAGCAGTTGATGGAGCTTCTGACCTTATCATCATGAAAAACCTATTTTGCACCTTATCAAGTAATCACAAGGAATTTCAAGTTGACTTTTGAGTTTTTCATGTGCTTTTAAAATAGTTTCATGGCTTTTCTTCTGAATCTGTCCTGCCAAGTTCCAACACAGTTCTCTTCCTCAGCCTTCTGAGTCTATCTCTTTATTCCAACTGCACTTACATGGACCCCACACAATCTACCTCCAGAATATACCCATCCCTACCTGCTTCTAATGCAAAAGCTTCAGTTTATGCTGCTATTATAGGAAATCCCATGAAAATACAAGGAACACTGAGGAGATTTGAGCTGGATCATCCACTCAATGCAATTTTGATAGATTCAACAGTAATACTAAATGCTAATGTTAATAATGATACCTAAGACTGGCAAAGAAGCATTAGTACTTATAAGTAATACCTTAAACTGGATTTAAGTATGTTTATTTAAGTTAGTTATTACTCTTGTAATGATACATGGGGAAATAAGTAGAAACAACATCCACAGTCTTCCATGGTGATTGTCAATTAGTCTCTCTTATGAAAAACAGATTTCAAAACAATGAATAGTACACAGTGATGCCTCAATCAAGTAATTCATTCTGAACAGTCAACAGATCATACCTGAAAAAATAGAGACCAAAATACAATAGCATATTACCTGTAGTCATATGCAGAATAATCTTTGATTGAAAATCCAGAAAGTGAATCAGAAAAGTAATGGCACAGTCCATTTTGTGCTTTAAATGGATATTCTGATTCTCTCACCAGTTTCACTTTCATCTGAAAGAAAATCATCATCAAAAAGATTCTGTTATACAACTGTAATAGAAGTAAGATTCAGCTTCACTACATCTCCATCATGTGAGTACTTCAGGTTATTACAACCTGAAATTAAACATTCAGGTGTTGGCCCTCCCTGGTGGCTCAGCGGGTTAAAGCACAGCACTGAGAATCTAAAGCCATCTCCGCCTGAGTTCGATTCCCGCCTGCCCCGGAGGTGACCACATGGCGTGGCAGACCTCTCCTGACCCGCCCGCTGCTCCCCTCAGCAGTGTACTTTGTCGATCTGCCTGTTCTGCTCCCCACTCTGTCTCTGGTGAAGCCTCTCGCCGCCCCTGAGCTTCTGGCCTGTACCCCAGTTCTGTATGCACAAATAAATAAATCTTAAAAAAAAACAAAAAAACAAAAAAACAAAAAAACATTCAGGTGTTTATGCTAAACATCCTAAGTGATTAGATCAATATATTTCTTTCCCTTTTATCCTGCTTATCCTGTGGCTGCATTATAGCCCCTGGAACCCCTGCTGATCTGAAAATACACTCATCTCAGCTGCCTCATAAGGGTACAATGTGGGAATCCACTTTTCCTTCCAGGCCTCTGGTCCGGGGTTACCAACACTTGGAGAGTCACTCAGCATAGTGGTCTGTGCCAGGCAGCAGTCAGCTGCCCACTTCTCTCTGGGACATACTTTGGCATATATACCTATTTTACAGTTGTCTCAACAGAATCCTCCCTCTCTGGAAGGGAAGGGCTCATAAAGTGTATGAGCAACTTTTGACACTCAATGACAAAATATGGCAAATGAACAGAGAGATATTTAGGTTTGGGGAACAAGCCGAAGCTTATTAACCTTTTACACAGCACAATAGCAGCCTCATCGGCTGGTTTCACACTGTGGAAGCTGCACCTTAGACATTGTCAGAGAGTGTTCTAAGGACCCCAAGCTACGGTGCTGTGCTGAGTAAAGTCCTCCGGGGAGGGAGAAGAGGTAAGATTCAGTGCTGGTTCAGCTACTGATTTGGCAACGTGACCTTACCTGTTAGGTCACATTTCCCCATCTACATAGCGAACAACTCAACTAGCTTATTTCTAATGTTCTCTTTAACCTCAACATCAGAAATTTTAAGTAAAGTTATAATCAGACACGCTCATCTTTCTGGGTCATGTGACCTGTATCTGAAGAGAAAAAGAACATACTTTGCCTATTAAGAAATACTGAAAACTAAGCACAAATAAATTTCTGCATGATTGATTTGCATGGAAGCAATCAGAAAGATCTTCTGATTTATTCAAGATTTGGTCATCACTCTTTCCAAACCTGATCACATTATCTAGTATATGAAAATAAAATGTCTGAAATAGAAGCACAAGAAAGACTGAGAGAATAGTTACCTTCTTCAGCCAGTTGAGAGCATTCAGGGGAGACCCTCCATTGCAGCCGTAGTTGTCATAGGAACAGTCGATGACCTGCTGAACACTGAGGTCTTCCAGGGGTTCCCCTTTTATGGCAAAGGCAGATTCCACCGCACCCACCACACTGAAGGCCCAACACCCACCACACTGTTTAAAAACAGAAACAGAGTAGCACTATGATAAAAAATGTCAAATCAAGTGCACCAGTTCTGACCATAAATGAGAACAATCATTTTTCCAACAGCGAACAGGGCTTATATGGCAACAACACAACAAAAGAGAGGGAAGCTTACAACGTAAGTTCTATGAAACCCATGGGCATTCCCAAAACCCAAGGCTGCAGACAGCTTCAGAGTGCTGTGCTTTAACCCACTGAGCCACCAGGGTGGGCCCGGGACTTAACAGGCTTCTTAACCATCTAAGTCGTGTGAGACCAGGCTGCCAGGCTGATTGCCTTCTGACTTTTCTTTAACATGCTACTAAGTTTTGAATGTTGTGCGCTAATCTCATTTCTCCCACAATCCCTTTTGCTTTTATGACGTGATTTTGCAGAGATGGTGATTTAGGCAAATCACCATATAGCAAAACTGACTGTATTTTAGAGGAGCACAGGTAGACACCATATGTTGGAGGTGGGAATGGGGGTTTTCTGGATGGGTTGAAAGGATGAGGCAAGGGAATTCAAGTGAGTAGGGTATACTGTTGGTAAATGTATCTGGTTTTATGCTCCTTTTTCACTGTTGTTTTCTTCTGAAATTCAGGTTCACTTCTCTAATCTTCCATATGCTGCTGTAGAGGAGACTGGGTGACTGTTACCACCTCTGAGTGGCTGTCACCTCTGTGCCAGTGGCTGGTGGCAAGGGAAGTTACTGAGAACATATTAAGTAAGGTCTACGTTCAGAATAAAAGTTAGCTTTGGAATCAGCCTCATTCCATCAGACATTCCCTCCCATTATCATTGTGGGTGACTGGGTTGTGGTTTGACCTGTGGAAATGATGGTGCCATTGCAAGTCTGATAGAAGCCACCTTCAAAGGGGACTTCAGCTACGATGACCCAAGAACAAAGACTGACCACTTACCATCTGCTGGTTCCTCACTTGAGTCACAACATGTTTGTCCCGCCAGTCAAATCTTAATGGCAAAGACACGTTGGAGATGGACTTCCACTCTTCTGCTGGGTATGTGGGAAATCTGGAGGTTGTGCTTCTTAAATAGATAGCTGAGTGGAGCATGCAATGAAAAGACAACGGATATTATGGGATGGGGAGGGATTCTTTATGGAGGAACTTTTTGAACACAAAACAGTAGCTTTCTAGCTTTCTAGTGGAGACTGTCTCTTGTGGTTTTCGTGGGTGCTTCTTTATAACATAAAATGCATTCAGCGAAAGCTACAAAACATAAGACTCTTACAGTAGTGGTTGGGCTGGCACATAAAAGGCTGTTTGGTAGAACCTAGCCAATAATCATCATTTGTTTTCTAATAACCCAAGGGACCATGAATAGAAAAAGTAATAGGAAAAAACAATAGACACAAAAGGTGAAGCACTGTTCTATATAAGTACATGGAAATATTTCTCATTAACAATATTTAGTGCTTAAGCACTATAAATAGAAGACAGTAGCCATGACTTTCTTTCAGCACCTGTTGATGCTTGACACTTAATAATTACTGAATGTATGTTAATCATGACTCAGCTTACTACACTTAGAATTAAACAGTGCCTCCAAAATGAAAGGATCAAGTTGAAACCAAGAAACGAGTCAGCTAACAGCATCATCACACCAGACCTTTAAACTCTCCAGGAAACAAATGAGAAAACTGATTTGATCCATAGATGGCAGTGGAGTTCTCATGAGGAAATAAAGAATTTAAGTATCGATGTCTATTCAGACTTTCCTAGAAAAGAAAAAAAGAAAGTCATTAGGTTTAAAAAATCCCAAGTAATTTATTGTTTTATTTTTAAGCCTCTGTGGAAGTGCTATTCGTTTACATACTTGCCAGTGCTTTCGGATGTGTAGGGTCCCCCCACCCGCCCATCTGGTCACCACCAAGGCAGCCACAGTCCACCATCATCCACTAAGGCCTCTCCCTGTTCTTTCCCCTCCCCTTCCCGCTGCCTCTGGAATCCTCAGGTCTACCTATGGTCAGCTTTAAAAAGTTGGTTTTCACTAACTTGGGCATATTTTTCAAATGTAAAGCCAAACTTTGATTTATTTTCTGGACATCATAATGCAAAATTGTATATGAGAATCAGATCAGATTTATAAATCTTTCATATTAAAACTACTATCTTATTCCAGGAATATTTTTGAGGCTTGAAAAGGTGTGTTTTACTCATTTATATTCTCCACTAAGTATGCTGAGAACACTAAAGATGGATTTGCTAAATGTAGTGAAAGGGGAATGGCAAATAAACGCCAATAGTAGTGTCACCATAGACACTTATGTGATTAAACAATTATGAATTAGAAATGTGTCTTTGTATTTCCCAGCACTGTTAGGAAGCATGAAAAGAGGAATGGGTAAATTATGAATAGCCAAATCTGATTACATAAGAGTTTTATAGACATCTCTGTCTCATTTAAGGTAAAAACACTTATGAAAGAGATGCAATCCTGGAAAGGTGTAGGGAGATAGATGAGCTTATCTACCTGGAGGAAAAGCACAGAGGACCATTATTTACAGATGCCTTAGCTCTGAAGTTTGCAATCATTTATCTTGTCTTTTCTGTGTCTTGATTTCCTAATACTAACCACTGGTAGGATAAATAAAACACCAGAGGAGCACTATTTGGTAAGTTGCCAACTGTAGCGCTTCTATATCTGTCAGTGCTCTTGGGTCTCTGTTGTGCTTTTGTTTTATGAACCTCATGAGCAGAAGTTCTGCCTGTCTCATTCACCATTATGTTCCCTACAGCCAACACATGCTGGGCTCACAACAGGTAATTAATAGCTGTTGGGTGAATGCATAAGTGACATTTTGCATAAGTTGTGTCCTGAATAGCTTCAGGCTGCTTATTTTTTAGTAAATTTTCACTAATTTATCATAGTCTTGTTTTTGCCTTATTAAGCATGCCTGGACAGATGGTTAAGAATGAACTAACAAGGCTACTAAGTTTTATACATTTAGAAATCATCTTGATGAGGTGGAGCTTTGAAGATAATTTGGAGAGGGGATGCAGACATACCAAAGAAAAACTAGGCAAGCACACCTCTGCCATGTGACAAACTAAGTCAGAGAGGAATTCAGAGACTTATTCATAAAGTAGTGATGAGCCATCTTTGTGAGCTGGAGAATCAAGGGCAGCAGCCCCGAGGACACAGGACATTAAGAATGAACAGGAAAGCAGGGGCAGTTAGGAGAAGTAGCCGCACGGGCCTCCCCATCTAGAGAGCTTGCTGGGTGCTGAGTTCCCAGAATCCCACTGAAGGAGCCAAAGCCACCGCTACTCCTAGCAGCGGAATGAACAGGTGTGCTCACTTATTTTGAAATTAGTTTCTGAGGAATGAGTCGCTGATAGACGCTTCCGTGGACTACACTGTGATCTAGGACACCATCCCCAAGCTTTCTTCTTTCTTACCATCACAAAGAAAAAGAAAGAACAAAGGAAAGTGAAGATGCTATTAGGGCCATCAGGAGTGACAGGCCAGCACTACTGAGGCTTCAGACATTAGCAGAAAAATACTGTGCCTTTATGGCAGTAAGTTTGACAATCTGTATGAAATGACCATGCTCCTTGAAAGATACAAATGCCCAGAGTCAAATGTAGAAGAAATAGAAATGTGAACAGCCCTTTGTCAGCTAAAAGCAGTCCATACAAAATTGGAGGTGAACACACAAAGAAAATTCTAGGCCTTCATGGCTTCATGGCTGAACTCTCTAAACTAAAAAAGAATTAAGACCAGTCTTACATACATTCTATGAGAAAATAAAGGAAAACAATTTACAATTCAGTTTGTAAGACTGGGACTACCTGCGCTTTGAAATCAGACAGGGACAGCTCATGGCAAAAGGAAAACAAGAACAACAAGCTACATACCAACAGTCCTCAAGAATACAGAGATAAAATTCTTAACAAAATACTAACAAAACAAATGTGACCATACATGCATAGGGCAGTATGCCCTACCAAACAAGCTCACTCATTCAAAATTAATCAACAGAGTATATACTATGCTAGTGGAACAAAAGAGGAAGGAAAACTATATGTCAGTTTCAATAAATGAAAAAAAAAATGGTTGACATAATTCAACTTCCTATCATGATGAAAATTCTCAGCCAGCAGTGAAAGGAACTTCTTCAAACCGTTTGAGGAAACCTATGGAATACCCATATCAACCAGAAGTCAACGTCTATGAAAGAATCCCTCTTGTGAGCTGCTCTGTCCTTGGCAGGTGAGGACTCCAGTTGTATCAGTTATGCTGAGTCCCTTCTGCAGCTGACAGATGTTTGCAATCTAGTACCAAAAGTAAACAATCTGAACAGGAAGGACTCAGCTTCCCCTCCCCACCCCCACCACCAATACCCTCTACCTCCTTCTTTTGACTCTGTAATACCACTCATAATATTAAAGTACTGCTCTAGAGAATTCTGAAGGAAGTGTATGGTTCAAGCCAGGAACAAACTACAGGCAACAAAAGCCTTGTTCTCTAGCAACTGCACCCATACTTCTGGCTTTGAAAATTAGAATTGAACTCAACAGCAATACAATGGAGATAAAAATTACACATTTTGGTTTGGGAAAGAGATGGGAGTGAAGAGAATTACCAAGGCTGGATTCCCACACACTGCAGCATTTCAGGGGAGAGAGGAGCAAGGTCCTATTGAACAGACCTGTAGAATACCACATGAAATCTCAAGAAAACAGGAAAAAACACACACATTTCTCATCTGCAGCATTCCTGACATCAACCTTATTTTTGATTCAGAATGAATTTTCTTTTATGATAAATGATGATAATAATACCTATGAAGAGTTTTTAAAAAAATCATTAAATACGACCAGGCATATATATTGATAGAACATAGTGAAGCAAAGTCAAGGTTAGTACCAGTTGCACTTTCCCTCGGTTTCAAGAAAAACCTTACTTTTATTCAGAGGACTGGTCTGCTCCAGAGTTTTAATAATGGGGTAAAATCCAAACATGGTTATAATAAGCATGAAAAAGCATGACAAAAATGATTACTATTACCAAATAAATTGATAAGAAGAGGAAATACTTTCCCTTCCTTTCAATTCGTCCCCACCACATCAGGAAGAAGTTTTTAAGGCGCGGCCCTAGCTTAAAAAGCCCCAGTTAAACAACCACAACAACAAACCCAAGTGATCAATGAGTACAACTCTCTGAATTTGCTAAATGCAGGAGGTTCTTTGTTTATAAACTTCTGATCACCACGGTAGGGCACTAGCGCCCCCTCCGGGAGAGAGACGACAGGTGTCTGTCTTCCGCTTACTTCTGGTTCCCGTTAACGCGACCACTAGAACTTCCGAGGGGGGGGGGGGTGTGCTAAAAAAGGGTGGGTGACCTTTTCCACCGAGAATACTTTGGACATACCCATCCATCACTTTTGGGGCCGCCTAGAAACCCGCACCACTAGATCTCAGCGGGGAAATCAATCCTTGGGTTAGCAGGGCCAGGGAGAGCGCGACGGCCTGGCGCAGGGGGCTCCCGGGGAAGTTCCTCCGGCTCAGCACCCCCCTGGCAGCCCCACACCGCAGGCCAGGTGACCGCCGGGAGCGTCGGCTCCCCGGGGCCCCGCCGCCCC